AGTTGTGGTCCATTAGTCCTTTGGACTGATCTTTCCTTTGTATCTTGTTTTCTTCATTATCCCTTGCTCCCAAAGGGGTGAGACCAGTGGAGTATCTTAGATAGCTGCTCACAGGTTTTTCACCAGGGTTGAATGTAGAACATTTTCTACATTTTCATTTAGCCAGATGAGCTAGATGTTCCCCGAGAACATGTTCCCCACTACCTGCACCTGTTTACACTCCCCCCAGCAATGTGTAAGGGTTCTGATTTCTCCACATCCTCACTGACACTTGTTATTGTTCATCTTTTTTGTCATAGCCATCCTAGTGGGTGTGAAGTGGTATCTCATTGTGGTTTTGACTTGCATTTCTCTGCTGACCAGTGACGTAGACCATGGGCTTTGTTTTTAACTGAGATTTTCAGTGCGCTTCTCAGACCCTGTGTTCGGTGCTGGGAGCACAGCTATGAACAAGGCAGCCACAGTCTCTGTCCTCTTGGACTTTAGAGTTCATCTGGGAAGGTAGATAGTAAACAAGTAATCACAATTAGGGTTTTCATAAGGAGTTATACAGGACATGGTCCCTTAGTAAAATTTTTAGGTTTTCTATTTCAGTGGTTTAAGTCTTTTCTATTATCATTGGAGGTCAAAATTTATTCAGTGGGTATTTAAAAATACTATATATGGCATTTTTATATTTTATTGTAACAATACTTCAAAAGAAACAAGTATATATTAAAGGAAAAAAATACAAAAACGTATAAAGAAAAAAGTGGAGCATTCTCCTTGCCTCTCCACTTTAGCCCTTAGCAGCGTGTTGTGTATTATCCCAGACTGGTTTCCACGCATGTACAGATTTGTATCATGTAGAGAGTTTGGACTGAACAAATTACTTTGCTAACAATTTTTCACTTCTTTTTGTGCCTAGTGATTTTACTAATTGTACAGAGATTTCTGAAGGATGGTGGATTTACCAGGTATTGCCAGGCACTTTCCATGGGCAGTCGCCTTTGACTGTGATGTTTCTCTTTTCACTGCAGATGGTCCCCATTCCTGCTGGAGTATTCACAATGGGCACAGATGATCCTAAGATACAGCAGGATGGGGAAGCCCCTGCCCGGAGAGTCATGATCGATGCCTTTTACATGGATGCCTATGAAGTCAGTAATGCTGAATTTGAGAAGTTTGTGAACTCAACAGGCTATTTGACAGAGGTAATGGTGGGGATGGAGAACTTGTTCCTTTCTGGAAGTTTTAACAATGCTTTAATAATAGCTAACATTGATTGACCTCTTTCTAGTGTGTGCCCAGCACTGTACTAAGAACTTTATATATGTATTTCACCTAATTGAATCCAAAAGCAACCCCACAAGGCAGGTTATTTTTCAGGTAGGAAGCTGAGGATTAGAAAGGTGATTTCCCCAGAGTCACACAGCTAGTTTGTCAAGCTGTCTTTCAGATCTAGCCAGTTTGACGACAGAACCCACATTCTTAACTCTCATGTTGTAGTGTGTTAATGCTGTTCAGTGCCAGGGAGTGTCACTGTTCAGTTAGGCTTTTTGAGATGAGAGATAGCATGTAAAGTAAAGCCAGTTTTCCTTCTCAACAAATTGCAGCTTGGTCGTTGTGAAGCATTTACTTCCTGGGTGATAAAAGCAGAAGTGCAGCTTCTTCATTTTTGTGGTTTTATCTCAGTGCCTTGACAACTCTAATAATAAGCTCTCCGGTCACTGTTCCAGGCCGTATCGTATGACCATGGTCAGTGAATCACAAAGCCAGGTTCTGAAAGTGAATATTTGTCTTAAATGGGAATAGGAAGAGGGAGGCTTTCTCATTTCTGTAGGTTTCTGAAATACACTTGTTTTGTAGGCTGCTAATTTTCTCTCACCAGAAGACTTCACCCCTGCCTTCAGTTTGTGGAATCCTCGTTTTTTTTTTTGTTCCAGAAGGATACTCTTGTACCAAGTTCCTCAATAGTCTACTTCAAGTTTGAAGAGGAGTTCTAAGGGAAGAAGGCTTCCCTTAGACCAGCGTTTTCCATGATAATTAAATAGAATGAACAGAATTTATGAGTCCATGAACATGGGTGGGGAAAAAATTTCATCTTGAGTTTTACTAATCTATAACTGAAACTTACCATTTCCTTCAGTTATGAACACAAACAAGAAACCATAGTAATAGTAGCAGTACCTATGACTTCGTCACCATTAGAAATCAGAGATGTTTTCATATCACGTTATTGTTGTTGCAGATATCTCGAAATATCATTTACGCTCATCCCCACTTTGAAATTATGATAATCATTAGATTTTCTGCTAGATCTTATGTTAATAAAGAGCATATATATGAACGCATATATAACTATAGCATATATTTGTTTTATTAATATTTTGTTGTAACTGATTATTCAGTTTCATTTGTAATCCTATTTATTTTATTTTATGCATTCTGAAAAGGGGGTTCATAAAGGAGTTCAGGGCACAAAAAAGGCTAAGATCCCCTGCCTTGGACAAAAAGAATGCTTCATATTTTTATGACACTTTACAGCTTTTTTTTGTCTCTCCAACTTCATTTTACATCACACCCCTGTCTGTCACTATGTTCTAGCTCTGCTGGTCTTGTTTCTATTCCTTGAAAACTTGACACTCTTCCCAACCTTGGGGACTTGGCCCATATTTTCCCCTCTGCTTGGAACTTCCTGCCACCGTCCCTTCCCACTTTTTACATAGCTGTCTCCTTCTCATTCCTTGACACTCTTTACTGTACAGGGTGAAGTAAAATTGTAATTGTTTTCTTCTTTTCTTCATTTGACTTGTTTTTTGTTTGGGCGCCCACACGTAAGTGCTGTAAAGAGAGGGACCGTGCCTAACTAAAATTTACCTCTATCACTATATTTAGCCCAAAGCCAGGCACATGTTCGTGTGATCAGTGTTTGGTGAATGAAGGAATGGCTTAAGTACTTGGGCATAGTGGCCATAAGGACATACAGGAAGACGAGCAGTGGTGAAGAAAAGATGATGACCTCTGTTTTGGACAAAGAGTTTGAGGTGCTGTGAGGCCTGAAATAGAGACACCTAGTAGGCAGTTAAGGAGCCCTATCCAGGAAGGTGGTTAAGTGGAAGTGTTCGGTTGCTGACTGAAATCTTGGCGGTTCAAACTCATCCATCCGTTCTGTGGGAGAAAGACCTGGCAATCTGCTTTTGTAAAGATTACAGCCAAGAAAACCCTATGGGGCAGTTCTGCTGTGTCACATGGGGTCATTATAAGTTGAAATTGACTCAAAGGCACCCAACAACAACAAGTAGGTGGTTAATTTTATCCAATGAGGACAGGACTGGACCTAGAGATCTGTGAGTCACTTGAAGTGCTGGTGGTAAAGTGATGAGATCGAAGGAGGTTGTTGAGTAGTAGATCAGTATATCTCAAAGTGTATTTCTCGCCCCACCTATATTTGGATCATCAGCGGTGCTGTTTACATATGCATTTTTCTCAGCTTCATCCCAAACCCTCAGAATCAGAGTCTCTGGGGTCGGAGGCAGGAATCTGTAGTTTTGACGAGCTGGCCAGGTGATCTTAACTGCACAGAGCCTAAGAGCCACTGGTATAGAGTAAGAAGAGCAGAGAGCCAAGGACAGAGATCTGGGGAGCAACAGTGTTTTAGGGACTGGAAGAAGAACCCATGTATTTCAGGAGAGAAGTAGGAACCATCAGAAATGTAAGAGGAAGACTAGTAGTGTCGTAGAGTCGTGGAGAACAGGGGCCTAGGGTGGGTGTTTCCAGAATTGGTTCACATGCAGCAAAGAGAACCAAGTAGATGAGAACTTGAGACACTAATATTAAGTAAAATCATCAAAATACAGGCTTCTGTCTGATGCTTGCATTGGCCACTTGAAATTTGTAAGTACAGCTGACACCTTAGTAGAGCCAGAGTGTGTCAGAATGTCAGCAAACAGTGCTGTTTAATTGTTTTAACTAAATTTCAGGAGGAGAGCAAAGGGCAGAGCTCGATTACCTAATCTCACATGTAAAAGATACTATTATTTTTTTCCAAAGCCATTTGTAATGCTTAGGTAGATGTGTTTCTGTCAGCAGGAACAGTCATGTGCTCAAAAGCTAATCTCTTCCTGTCTGCATTCTTAACAGCTAAATGAGTCTTAAATGAAATTGGTCTCTGAGAGTGACAAGGACTTGTTTTTAAAAGGGAAGTCAGAAGTTTTTAAGTTATTTCTGAATCCTCTGGGAAGGCACAAGAGAAGCTTAAATTCTAGAGGCGTGCAAGGAAAATGGCACGTGTGAAATGCGTTATTATAACCTCTGGATTTTTATTTCCTACCTTCCTGATAGGCTGAGAAGTTTGGTGACTCATTTGTCTTCGAAGGCATGTTGAGTGAGCAAGTGAAGACTGACATCCAACAGGCAGTAAGTAATGCTTAAACAGGCTCTTGTATTTCTCTGGGGTTGATTGGAAAGACTTTGGGTGAAAAATCCAAAATACAAGTGCCACCCTCATCTCTCCCAACACCTAACCATTCTCTCGCCATACGCTTACTCAAAGTAATAGCTCCATAGACCACCGCACCTTACTGTGAGGAAATGGTGCAAGTCCAGGGTGGCACCTGAAGAATTGTTGGGTCTGACTTGAGGTTTTGTCTTGTCCATCTGTGTAACACATTATGTTGCTATGTAGAGCTCAGCTGAGCTCTAGACACTTCTGGGTTTCTTTCTACTTGTAGCCTTTTCTAGAATGGAGGATTAAATATGCATTTTTTTTACTTCTTTCTTAAAGTTGTAACCTCATCTGGTGCTGGTGTCTGTTAGAGCTTCCTATTAAAACATTAATTCACATGATCATAGAAGTGTTCCTGCAGGGCCCTTTGCTCTGAATTCTGTGGAATGTGGAGCCAGAGATTTGGTTCTCATCGCCCAACCACCTAGTGATGGCCCCTCTCTCATAGAGAGGGTCCGAGTGTGTGAATTAGGTGTATTTCTCTCAGAAATCATGGAAACAGTGGACTGGGTTCCATAAACACCTATGTGGTGAGTGGAACTAAGGTTTCCTGTGTCCAGACATTTCAGCAGGTTTGTGTTCTTGTGTGTGTGTTTGTATAGGTGTCTCAGAGGGCAGAGAAAATAAGAACAAGGGTAAGAGTGCAGGTAAGCTGGGAAGCTGAGGATTCATAAAACCAAGAGAACAGAGAATGCGAAGAGGCAGAAGATAGTGTGAGAGGAGGAGAACGGGGGTCTCAAGGGAGACTGATTAAAATACAGCCATTAAAGACCAAAGAGCCCAACCCTAGTCTTCTTTTGTATACAAGTTCCCTTTCCACTCCTGGCTATTACCTCATCCTTATGTGTCAGCGGCACTCTGTTCCCTTGGGTGAGTAGCGGTGCCAGAAAAATTAAAGTCCTAGCTCACCCATTTTCTCTTCTAACTAATGTAATGAATCTCGGGAGGAAACCATGAGGTAAAAAAGACTTGGTCCTAAATCACTGACAGGAGAATCAGGCCACTTTTTTTGTATGTGTTTTAGATAAACGTTTAAAAAACGTGATTGAGCTCCATTTGGATTTCACAAGTTTTGTATTATGGCATCTGATATACTTCATTTTTTTTTTAAGGGCTTTGAGGTCAGATCAGGTTGGTCTTGATGAGCCAGCTACTCAGGGTATGGTGCCTTGTTTTAAGATAGGGACTTTAGATGAGGGAGGGCACTTGCACTTATCTTTGTAATTTGTGCTTTCAGATGGAGGGCCTCTTGTCACTTGAGAGCCTCCAAACACAGTAGGCGTAAAGGCCGAGACAGATTATTGCTGGACTCCGAAGGTGCCCTGTTAAGTACGAGGTGAAGCGCTTGTGTGTGTAACTAGGACAAGGACAAGCAGCTCTTACCAGATCGTGGTGTTGCTCACTTGCTTAAATGAACATAATGGAAAAGCAAACCTTTTAAGTGTGTTTAGAAAAGGATGGAGTAAATAAAGTGAATCTGTGGGAAGTCTGAGAGAGCTCAGTTTTTGTTTTTCCATCCCTTCTTAGGTCTGACTTACCCTCAAGCACCAAACCTTTTCTAACCCATCGTTTCCAAAAGTGTGGGATGTGAGATGGTCCATGAGACGCCTTTAAGTGATACAGGAGATGATTCTAGGTAGTTGAAGGACAAATAAGATAACAGTGAATCACACAGTGAGGAAGTGGTTCCCTTTTCCGGTCTCTTTCAAGACTTGATTAAGTCAAGAAGAAAGTCTTGTTTGGTGCCAGCTTATCATTAATAGCCTCCAGCATTTGTTAGTCTCCTTTTTATTTATTTATATTTTTTCTTTTGATTTTTTTTATTGTTGTAATTTAAATAAAGTTTACATTTCAAGTTAGTCTCCCATACAAAAATTTATACATACCTTGTTATGTGACCCTAATTGCTCTCCCCATACTGTGACAGCACACTCCTCCTTTCCATCCCTGATTCCCCATGTCCATTCAACCAGCTCCTAACCATCTCTGCCTTCCCATCTCACCTCCAGACAGAAGCTACCCATTTAGTCTCTTGTATCTACTTGAGCTAAGAGGCACATTCCTCACGAGTATCACTTTATGTCCCTCAGTCCAGTCCAATCCCTGTTTGAATAGTTGTCCTCGGAAATTGTTTTAGTTCTGGGCTGATAGAGAATCCAGGGGCCATGCTTTCTGGGGTTCCTCCAGTCTCAGTCAGACCATTAAGTCTGGTCTTCTTTCTAAAATCTGAGTTCTGCACCCCACCTATCTACTACTCCATCTGGGACTCTCTGTTGTGTTCCCTGTCAGGGCAGTCATTGGTGGTGGCCATGCACCATCTAGTTCTTCTGGTCTCAGGCTGATGAAGTCTCTGGTTTATGTGGCCCTTTCTGTATTTTGGGCTAATACTTTCCTTGTATCTTTGGTGTTCTTCATTTTCCTTTACTCCAGGTGGTTGGGACCAAATGATACATCTTAGATGGCAGCTTGCAAGCTTTTAAGACCCCAGATGCCACTCACCAAAGTAGGATGCAGAACATTTTCTTAATAGGCTTTGTTATGCCAGTTGACCTAGATGTCCCCTGGAAGCATGGTCCCCAGAGCCCTACCCCTGCTACCCTGTCCCTCAAAGTGTTTGATTGTATTCTGGAAACTTCTTAGGTTTGGTTTAGTCCAGTTGTACTGACTTCCCCTGTAGTGTGTGCTGTCTTTCCCTTCACCTAAGATAGTTGTTATCCACTGTCTAGTTAGTAAATAACCCTCACCCTCCTTCCCTACCCTTATAACTATCAAAGAACGTTTTCTTCTTTGTTTAAACCTTTTCTTGAGTTCTTATAATAGTGGTCTTACACAATATTTTTCCTTCTGTGACTGACTAAATTCACTCAGCATAATGACCTCCAGCTTCCTCCATGTTATGTTTCGCAGCTTCATCGTTGTTCTTTATCGTTGCATAGTATTCCATCGTGTGTCTATACCATAATTTGTTTATCCATTAGCCCGTTGATGGGCATCTAGGTCATTTCCATCTTTTTGCTACTGTGAACATGTTGTAATGAACATGGGTGTGCATATATCTGTTTGTGTGATGGCTCTTATTTCTCTGGATATAATCCAAGGAGCGGGATAGCTGGATTGTGTGGTATTTCTATTTCTAGCTTTTTAAGGAATCGCCAAATCGTTTTCCAAAGTGGTTGTACCATTTTACATCCCCACCGATAGTGTATAAGTGTTCCAGTCTTTCCACAACCTCTCCAGCATTTATTATTTTGTGTTTTTTTGGATTACTGCTAGCCATGTTGGGGTGAGATGATATCTCATTGTAGTTTTGATCTGCATTTCTTTAATGGCTAATGATTAGCATTTCTTCATGTGCCTGTTAGCCACCGGAATACCTTCTTTGGCAAAGTGCCTGTTCATATCCTTTGCCCATTTTTTAATTGGTTTATTTGTCTTTTTATTGTTGAGGTTTTGCAGTATCTTGTAGATTTTAGAGATTAGATGCTGATCGGATTTGTCATAGCCAAAATTTTATTCCCAGTCTGTAGGTTGTCTTTTGACTCTTTTGGTGAAGTCTTTTG